AAACACTTTGGCGTCAGGTTGTCTTAAAGTAACAAGAGGCTGGAGACAGGGTGATCCTTTATCTCCTTATATATTCTTGTTATGAGCTGAAATGTTGGCAATAATGCTCCGAACTAATGAAAAATAAACGGAATAATTATTGATGAGACAGAATACCAAAATTCCCGGTTCGCAGACGACACATCGCTCATATTAGACGGAACTGATAAATGTCTCCAAAACACACTGACAACTCTTCAAACACATGTGTCTTTATCAGGCCTAAAAATTAACACAAGAAAAACACAAGTGTTGTGGATAGGCTCACAACCCTGAGACTGATGAAAATATGTTCAAAAGTTTTTTACTCGAAATTAATTACAAAGACAAACTTATAACGATAAAAACCATCATGAACTTTTGGTTAGCACGTGGCTGATCCCCATTAGGTAGAATTACAGTACTATAAAATGTCTTATCTTACCCTAATTAACCCAAAGTTTCTCATCCCTACCTAATCCAAGTGAATGATTACAAAATAATAAAAGAACTCGAAACAATGTGCTGGAAAACTAAAGCAGAAAAAATAAGTAGAAATATAATAACAAAACATTATGAAGAGGGAGGTATAACAGTGCGTGATATCAAAAATACAATCCCTACTCAAAAGATATCTTGGATTAAAGGTTTGATCCATCCACACTCACACTCTAAACTTACCGCTCATTTGATTATTTATACAACTCCAACACAAATTGATTTTCTGCAAAAAAGCCTATTTTACATTTCGGAAAAGGTTATAAATGCTAGGAGCAATATATTTTGGAAAGATGTTCTGTATCCATGGCGAAGCTCAGTAGAAAAAAAGAAATTCCGTCAGAGAGAAAACAGATATACTAGTATTATCACAACCATTATGGAAAGAGACGAATATCAAAATAGGGAACACTCAGGTATATAAATAACATTACTCGGGAAAAGGTAATAATCTTATAAATGATTTGATAGACGAGAGTTGAGATTTCCAGATCTTTTAGACCTAAAACAAGTATATGACTGTTAAACACCTTTTCTGGAATATTCTACTCTTGTACAAGCCATAAGACATCTCAAGTGTAAGAATATGTAACTAACATCTAAGTTACATCTTAACACCGTGATTTCTTAGACAACTTGGTGGAGAGATAGGGATGTAGAATATTTTATGATATATTAAATAAGGTACCCAATAATATATCCGAAAAATGCACTCAAAGATGGGAACTAAAGATTCCCTGAAAAAGATTGGCAAATGGTCAATCCTAGCCCCCACAGATATAACGTGTCCTGACAACAAAAATGGTTCCAATACAGTACTATTCATAGAATTATATCAACAAGCGAGTTGTTGTGAACGAATAAAACAAATCCTAAACTAATTTGATTGTGAAATTGTAAAATATGTCTGGAACACCCTTGCAAAATGGACCAAAGACAAAACTGGAATAGAACTAGAATTTTCCAAATTGACAATTTTATTAGGATATCAAGAAAATGAAATGATATTCAAACCAAACGTTTCCGAATCCCTACCGAATTTCCATAACATCAAACAAGACATCGACAGAAATAAATCTTATTCCAAGTGTAAATACTCACAGTTAATAAAATTTTGGTCACTTTATCATCATCCATTCGCGTAAACCCACCAATTCCAACACAGATGACTTGCCACTGGAATAGTTTTGTTTGTTATTATCCACAGATGTACTTTGCAACTTGTATGTATTTAAGATTATATATGTAGAATATTCTGTAAACGTATTGTTTGTGTACTCCAAAAAGATATAACATGATAAAAAGGTGTCCTGCAAAACATTCCAATCTGATATTGCATCTTCTCCTTGTTTAGAAGTCATGCCAAACAAAACTTAGAATTGATAGATCTCCGATGCGGACATACACATACTGAACAAATATATGACCATGGTTTGATTCGTTTTATCATTTTTTAATTAATGCTGTCATAGGTATTATTATATCTGAAGAGATAATCGATATGGCTTCGGAATTATGAAACCTATAAAAAGACATAGTCTACACACAGCTCTGGAAAATTAAACATAGGGACATGGAACAACAATGTAGCTCATCTGAATTGTTAGGTATTGGAACAGTGTAGTTACATCAAAATTAAGAAATGTATACATTTTAGTAGATTCAACTATTCAGTTGATATCATGTGTGGACACATTTGCAGAGGCATGATTGTCATGCACGTTTTGTACTGTTCTCTCTCTCTTCCCGGTTCATTATGTACATGTGTATTTGCAGTACATGGTAACTACTTGAGTATCCCATTGTATTTGGCATATATTTTATGACCATATGACATATTGATTATTGTGTGAAAATGCAAAGTTTCTAATTCTGTAAGAAGGTAAAGAAATACGGATAATTTAAGAGTCAATGGCATTAAATGCCAAATTTTGATCATTGCTCAGGTGTGAAGAAAATGCATTAATATTACTGAATTTCAAGAAGCATTTGGATGTATTTATGGGCTGTGCTGGGAATCAGAAATCGATTCCTCATGTCATGAAATTGTCTTCATGTCCGAGGTATGTTGTAATGGTTTGATACCTCGGATTGACAAACCAGAAATGCTTGTGATCGCCATATACAAGCGATAAAACACATTCCACATAAGTAATCATAAAAGTCCATTGTACGATTCCGACTGTGTCATAAGTGCAATGTATGTGTTTAAAATCACTATTAAACAGTGATGGTACAAAGTGTTCGCGAAAAGGTAAGCTTCTTATCATGGTATCATGGTAACATTGTGGTTTAACACTGACGTTAATAGGTATATGAAGTTCCGTAAACTAATTCCCTCCCTTCGAATGCTGATGAATTATTAACACACTTTCAGGGAAAGGCAAGTATGTTCAACCTAAATATTTGGTTTAATTTAAGCCCGGTATTTTCCCTATTGTTGTAAACATTTCAACAGCTTGATATAAATCTACATGCGTTTATCATTCAGATGAAGAAGATGAAGAATTCTCCGATGTCAAAGAATATACAGTATGTCATTTAGATTACAGATAAAGCAACAATTTACTTCATGCTATGTGTCTACATTTCACCCGTTTCTCATTCATTACAGTAAAATGTAGTAAATGTAATTAAATCAAAACTAGGAATCGGCAACATCCAAAAATAGATGTAGAGATTGTAGCCCCATATAGGGGTCCGCTTATTGATATATTCGGAACACAATTCAACATAATTCAAGGATGTTCTGTATATTAAATTGTTTTCTTAATTTCTGATGTAAAACCCAATAGCACATACGTAACGGGATATATTCGTACGCCAGACAAAACTTCCACGTTATGTTGGTGCTATTGGGGATAAATTCTCACTGGGAGTATACGCCTCCTACATGCACCATACGCCCTTTGTGCATGCCCTTGAGTATAGTCAATATGATGACCTTGCTGAACATAGCGAGTGTTTTGTTGGGATATTTATTGACTTGTATGCACTCTCTACTTGTTGCGGAGTTATGTCCCTTAGCTTTACTCGCGTGTGGTAAATGTAAGAGCGAATCACCAGCCCGTCTATGCCTTGCTCGTAGTCATTGTCATCTTAACATCATCACATCATATTATATGTATCCTTTATGAATACAGTATCACACAAGTAAAACCCCGTTTACCCGGACCCTACAAATTCGGAATCCCTGCGGTCTGGGAGTAACTGTTGGACTGTCTCCCTACCCTTTTCAGTGATCCATTCATATACGTTCCCCCTCTAGTTTGCCATTTACGCCCAAAGGTAACTGCTCCGACAGTGAGTGTTCACTGACGCTGACGCTTTATATTTACATACAAAATGCCCTCGATAACCGAATTCCGACGGTACCATCGAGTGAGTGAACGAGTATAGATTTAAGCCGCTCTTAGAAATATGCAAGCAATACCACCATAAATTGGCTTCACACAATGTACCCATGTTGGGTATCGAACCCGGGCCTTCGGCGTGACGAGCGAACGCCTTAACCACTACCCTCCACCGCCTCGATTTCGCCGAGGATGGTGGCGTTCGGATGAAAGAGATTTCATTGTGTACAGGTTTCGTGTTCCTTTTCAGCTGAGTACAGGGAGTTTTGTTGCACTACTGCATGATATGCGTAGTTTCCCATGATGGCGACAATGATGCTTGAACTTTAACAGGTAAGAATTTTAAAAGCGGGTCCTTCGCCGTGGTGCAATATCGAGGTTGAGTACTATTTGTATCATGTTGTGTGTTCGTGTAACGTCTAACTCATTGCCAGAGAGAACTATCTGAAGTAATGATGTTTAGGGAAACCAAATTTAATAAGCCAGTCCCACTCAATACGCTGTCTGTGTACTGTGTTCATTAATTATGGTTAATATATATAAATTATCTTTAAACATTACTCTGAAACATCTTCGGAGGAATATGCTTTACTTTTCATTTCAATTTGTGATCTAAAACGACAATGCCAAAATGAGTGAGCGAGTGAATATGGTTTTACACAATATTTACCAATATTCCAGCAATATCACGCCAGGGAACACCAGGGTGCTTCACACATTGTACTCATGTGGGGAATCGAATCCGGGGCCTTCGCTGTGAGGAGAGGACGCTTTAACCAGTTGGCATATTTACCACCTCCCATATTAATATTTCTGGAATTTACCTAAGCATAGTAGTAATTCCCAATTACTGTTCACGTAAAGTATGCGTACAATTCAGTAACATGTTGCACACCCTTTATCGCAGATCTTCTTTCATGACTCGTATCCTAGGCAATGATGCTTCTACCAGTAGTGGTAGACATGCTTATCACAAGTTGTGTCTTTGGTGAGTGTTCTGCGATAGTCTCTGATGAGGTCAATTCCCTGAGTATGTAATAGAAACAATGCCATCGACATGTCCTTGTCCTGAAAAACAAAAAGTGAGTCACTCTGTTTGTCCACCGTCAGAGAAAAGCAGACACAATCAGCTTCTAAAAATGGTTTTAATATAAAGCCAACCCAGGGTTCGACACACAACATTCGGGACGTTAACTAGAGATTATGAGATAAAATGTCTGAGACCGCCACCAAAGACAGACTCCCACCTGCTGACCAGGTGAGCTAACAAAAGGGATGTAAACAGTGAAACACAATAGGATATAAGTAACATAGGGCAATAGTGTGAACAGATACCCGCGCAAATATCAATATTTGAACCAAACAAAATAAGAACTCGCGTGCAAATGAATTATTGCTTCAGAGTAATTTACAACCATTTTCAGTGCCATTTGACTACATTCATTCCATCTTTTACATTTAACCCTGATTTTGAAATCTACTGGTCTGAGTGTTTTTGAAATAAGTATGACATGTTTTCGTTTCGCATTCAAAAGAAGTATTAAGTAACAAATAACAATACACGGGTAAAGGAGATAAGTCCCTGTCTATATGTTTGCTACAATAATTCGAACCCTTTCTAAATTCTGCCTACTTGCACATTTGTTGATCCTTTCTAAATCCTGCATAACGTGTATGTTGGTCGACCCTTTCTAAATCCTGCATAACTCGTATGTTGGCTGATCCCTTCTAAATAGTGCAGATCAATTTTATAATATCCTATTTTACCCAGAGATTTACGGTTGAACAGGGAGATATGACATACCAGTCCACAAAACTGCACCAAAACACGCCTGTATAAAATATATGTCAAACAGAACATAATTTAACAAGCGTTTATGTCTAATTAATTCTTGTCAAGTTCTTAACTCCAATAAATTCACCAAACGTATAATCCACATGTAGAAACATCCTAAACATGCTTTCATTTGTTGGTCAACAGTAACCCGATAAATGTTTACCCACCGTTTACTGGCGTAGACTATTGTGAATAGCATAACTATACGTATGTATCAAAACATCTTCACTGGTAATTCTACGCTAGCCCAATCACAATGTCAAACCGGCTGACATTGTCAGTGAATTGTACCATCTATCACATGAAATAAATATCATCTAGAAAGTAAACAACGTATTGAAAACAAAAACACTCGTGAGAATCCATTTTGAGAATTGAAACCATTTGCATTCATGATGATTATTCCTTGAGCGCCCTTGTGTGTACACAGAAATACGACGGGGGAAAACTAGGAGACGGGATTATATAATACCCATTTCGCTTCAAACAGTGACTCGTCATTCATGTTTATGAGAGCATGGAAAGGTCAAAGGTTGGATGAAGAACAAGTCGACATCCGTTGCATAAGACAACATACACACTTCACCCTCAGAGCCTTTTAGGCCTCATTTGCCTTACTGCACGATCGTTTATCCTTCGTTTATGACGTCATTGTGACGTCATACTTGTCACAGACTTTGCACGTCCTTGAAAAGGTTTCCAACGTGATCAAGAAGTGTTGTGACTCTGTCTCACGTGACCAGACAATTGTCACATGAAAACACCCTGTTGTCGGTCTTCTAGACACCAAAGGGTGGTGCCATCATACACATACAAAGACGTCATTGTCTCCTCTCAATTTTTCCAGCCTTCCAAAATTTTATCTTGGTCTACATATTCGAGAATATGCGGCGCGTTGATAAGGATCCCCACTGTTCCACCGAACGTGACGAAGAGAAAAATGAGCAGCATCATCCGGTCCAGAACTCGTGCGACGTACTTCCAGTCATCTAGCACCTGTTGACATCAAACATACATGTCAGTTCAATAAACCTAGTAAGATTTCATGCAAATTATGAAAGACAGGATATATGATACAGAATATCTTGACAATAGAAGATACCTTGATGATGCAAGGGGTTAGGCGAAATGGGGTTTACCTTGGCGTTCTAGATTATCGTATAACGTCATAAATTCACGTGTGTGTATATGTGTGTGTTTGTGTGTGTGGATGCTTGTGTAACAAGTACCATACTTAACTGATATAGGGATGAAAGAATAGCGACAGTTGCTATTTTAAAAAAACCCATTTGTTTTAATCGCAATGTTATAAATGAGTGAAAGCACTTCAAACGTATAACCCATCCTTACTGTTTCATAGTCTTCCTCTGTTTTCAAGTGTTTGTAGATGAATCTCACTGCTTCTGTTGCCTTGTAGAGGTCAGGCGTCATCCTGAAAGCTTCTTCCCCGTCGTCAATGCCATTCCCGCGGTCTAGCGGAGGATTCAATTTGCAGTGAGGGTGGTGGATCTCCGTTAGTTCTAGGAGGTCTGAGGTCATATTCAGAGGCACCCGCCTTGTTTCTGGTGTGTTCTGATACGACGGTGGCGGAGTAATCTCTTTCTTCTTCCACCGCTCTTCATGATCCGGTCTTTCCATGAGTAAAATCTTTGGAATATAGTAAAGAAATAGCTTTCGTACCCATTCTGGCATCTGATGAGTACGAGGGCTCCGGTAATTTCTATTTATAATAACAACAGTCGACAAAATGGCTATAATATTCATAATAAACGTAAATAGTAAATATTTGGCTATCAAAGGTATCCTCAATGATGGAGGGAGGATCTTTGAAACTAGCAACAAAAACACGACCAACGCCAGCAAGATGGATATACACAGTGTGATTTTTTCTCCGGCATCTGCGGGCAATGCGAACACACAGACGCTGACAAAGCTGATGAGCACACACGGGATGATAAGATTAACTGTGTAGAACAAGGTCTTCCTCCTTAGTATGAATTTGAAAATAATCAATTTGCGTATTTCACGTCCATTTGTTTCATTCACAATTTCTCCAGGACAATCAATCAAATCCCATGTACCGCTCTTCAGATAATCTGTCAGATCCAGCTTTGTACGTCCATCCCTGAACCCAAACGACAGCTGGTTCCCCTGGAACGTCCAAGAACCGAATTTCATCTCACATTCCTGCTGATCGAAGGGAAAATACGCGACGTCGATGGTGCAAGAACTCTGGTAAATAGCAGGGGGGATCCAGTTGACTTCGCCGGTGGCGTAGATGACACAATTGGACTTGTATGTTACTTCATAGTTACCGTCGGCGCTGAAGGAGTAAAACAATATACTTTTACATGTGTCAAGCTTTGTCTTCCAACTCTATAGAGGAAATTGCCCATCACTATTGTAGAAGGGTGTTTTTACAATTAACTTCGGATTCAGACCACAAAATGTGATAAACAGCTTACTTGACAAGAAACTACAATTGTTCTATTTATTAGTTATTGTTTATTCATTCTTTGTCATTGAGGCAGAATGACAGTAGTTTAGGCATAAAGTGATATTTACTCGAATGAAAAATAATATCTTATCGAAATATCTATTTTATATCTTCTTGATTCTACTTGATACACACTAACAACATTTATTACCACTCCTGGCGGAAAGTACAACTGGGTTTGTGGTAAGGTAAAGCTAACCAAAGTATGTTCCATTGAAATTTGAATTACCCCTTTTTGTCGTGGCCTTATACTTACATGTAGGAAAACACCCCGGATGGATACGAAAAGCAGAAGACCTATTTCATTTAGTTTATAGCACAGTTTATTTGGATAAATATGTCCAGTATATCCAGGTTATGCATCAATGTCCACAACCATTGGTTTTAATAAAGATTTATCAGAACCCTAGCTACCCAAACAAAGGGTCAGGTTACGGCAATGTATATATTCACTGATTAGCCGTCTATTTACATGGACATAAAGTCGATGAAATACTTAACAACGTTTAATAACGTGTCTATATTATAATTATTGCGTAAAATACAATGTTGATACCCTAATATCGGGCTTATCGTGGGGCTGATTTATAATGTTATACTCACTTATTAAACAGCACGATATCCGGCGTCCATACCGACTCTGGTCGGATCCTGATAGAGTCGATGTTCCCGTACTCCGCGGTGTTCCAGAACAGCTGCGTGTCGTTCCAGTACTTGAACAGATGAGTAACACATATAAATTCGTGATCGTTAATATGACTGTAAATGCACTCCCAGTAATTGTCACTATTTTGGAAAATACAGAGTCTGACCATTTTTTTTATAAGAAACATGGTTTTAATGACATTTTACCTGACTTGTGTCGGATGCTGATAAAACTGGTTTGTGTTTGTTTACGTGCATGCCATGTTGTATTAAAGGATATATATTAAAAATGTGTAAAATATGCATATATGTGAGGCGGGTGCGTTAAGGTTATGGTGGGTGTGTGGTGTGGCTGCTTGTGCTTGTTTACACAAATGCAGGTATTATAGTGCTAGACCACTGATATACCATGTCACAGTGTAACAATGATACCACATTTGGACACATTATACTGTTTTTCTGAGCAGATTCTTTTCTCATTTTAACTCCCTTACGAGATACCATGTCGTAGTTTAACATGGATACCCTACTCAGACACACTGTACTGACTTCGAGTCGACCAATCCTTTGTTATCCTTATAATGCCAAAGTATAATTTTTTGACGTCTTCGGACAGGCGATCTATCCACTCGGCCACGAAGGCGGTCATGCATAGGTTTTGAAAACAGATCTGTGATGATTGACAGTTTTTTTTCTGCGAGCGACATAATTATCACAAATTCATATTCTTCAAACTAGATGAAATATTACCAAAAACACGTCACAAATAATTTTGCAAAGACGAAAAATGGAGAATAATAGGAAGAATAACGAATGAGAAGAGATAACATACTTATCAAATGAAAATGGTTGTGTTGATAAAGGGGAAGGCTAAATATATTTGAGAAATATATTCTCAGTTAGGTATAAATAGATAATGCTAGCATTCTAACCAAACTTATTGTAATTAACTATTTTGGCGATCAAAGAAAACGTACCTTCTGAAATCTCGTTGACAAACAATATATCAGTTTGTCGTATTGAGATATAGCGTAAAGCTAAATGATGTCTAATATACTATAATGATACCTGGGAAGACAAATTGGCAACACTGTCCAACAGAAGACCAAGAAGCGTACTGGTAAACACAGTATGTGTTTTAAAAACATGTAAAACATTTCTGTGGGCATCTGGGTGAGAGTAGGCTGCTAGTCCGTGCAAGGTGACAGTACGTTACACACAAAGGACCTATGGCAGTTGTAACTTGTAACTCCCATACCATTTAAGAGATAAAAATACCACCATTTACAGTACGTCCTCGATTTGAAGTTACTACACTTCATTTGGATTTGAATGCGTTCCGAAATGACCTCGTCGTTTTCATGTAGTTTTTCAACGTATATTGTCCAAAGAATCTGCATCTTAGGAACTTTTATTTGCTGATTATTAATAACCAAGGTCCATTTTTAACATTAATATGTCATTATGAAGTGATGCAAATCGGATTTATCTTGTGGTTGTTTGAAACATCCGATTGTCCAACCAGAATCGAGTATTTTTCACTGTTGTGGTGGAAAATAAGGCTAATGACACATCTTGGAGATCCTTACCATTTGCAGCCACACATTCGTCTTCATCACCTGGTTCTTTTCATCCTGAAAGAATAGATAATCAAATACATATACTAATTACATTGTCAGGATATGTTAGGCCATAACAGTACCGATGTATCCTATGACTATTTCTTTTCAAGACTCTCACACAAAAGAGCATTGATAACATATCGGATGAGGTATTGACATATGCCATACTCAGTTTAAGCGCTAATAACTCTCAAATGATTCGTGATGTTGTGTGTGTGTGTGTGCGTGCGTGCGTGCGTGTGTGTGTGTGTGCGTGCGTGCGTGCGTGCGGGCGTGCGTGCGTGCGTGTGTGTGTGTGTGTGTGTGTGTGTGTGTGTGTGTGTGTGTGTGTGTGTGTGTGTGTGCGTGCGTGTGTGTGTTGTCGTTGTTGTTTAAATTGTCACTTTTATTATGGATGGACCTTCTCTAAGGCATGTTCCCGTTTTGTCAGGTCGATAATATAGGTTTGATATGTGGAGATTTCTCATCAACGGGCCTATATTCATCAAATAAATACGTCTTCCATACTCAGACGAGCGTTATATCGCCCTTTCCTTTTGTCCTGTTCAAGCGGCGATATGGAGATACATTTTGTGACTTTATTTATTACATTTATGAATTGAATTCAAAGTTATTATCAACATTTTATTAGTACACTTCTTTTTTATGTCGTAAAATTATGGCTCTTTTGAGATTTTCCATAGTGGAATACAGTCAATGTTTAAATATTCTATTTGCAATATGTTTTTAACAATAGAACAAAATGTGAACTGGGTAACACACTATTACCAATATCAGGCGAAATAGCTTAAGTTCTTTGAAAATAGAAACTTGATATAGTCCCCGTGAGGATCCGGCATAGAATTGATTATCAACAACCCATGCTTGTCTCAAGAGGTAACTAACGAAATCGAGTGGTCAGGGTCGTTGAATCAGTTGATGAATGTCATCGTATCACAATTGCAAAGATCGAAGCTCACGATGTCAATCACTGGGTTGTCTGGTCCAGACTCGATTACCTACAGACCGCCGCCATATACACGCAGCTGGACTATTGCAGGGTTGTTTGTTAAACAAACAAACAATCTGTATTTTGCAGATGGTTGAAACAGCATACCGCGGGCAATATGACACTATGATTCTGTGGTTACACCCTTAAATCGGTGGTTTCTTTACCAAGATGCACTTAAATTGAGTTCTTTCAGTGAAGCCTCGTCTGTGAATGTAGACAAGTTACTGTGGTGGCAGCACGCCCAACAATAACCAAATTAAATCCTTTCCTTCCTCGACCACTCGAAGAAACTTTAATTTGGAAGTTTCCCTCTTGTTACCCCGAAAATTGACATGCCCATAAGCCTGAAGCACATTAGAAGACTTCATTGTATGACACGTTCAATCTTAGAAAAGTTACTAGTGACTTCTGTGCATTTTCCTTCTGCTTTTTCTCGACAGCCTGCTGATAATTTGGATAGATTTTGTTGACAAGCAAATATTTACAAAGCTACAAGTTGAACATTTTTTTCTATCTAATGTAAACATGAAAAAGCCAATAAAATGTTATAATCATGTTTTGTTGTTTGCTGTCAAATATTTAGACAGCAATGGCGAACACTTCATTTTATTTGCACTACGCAATCACATGTCATAACCCACTAAATTGACGTCATAATTACCGGGGGCAATGCGACGACTCTGGTATTACAATTTTTTTGTACAAAAAGACGATGTCTCTTATGTTTGAAAAGACTATACATGGGCCTCTTAAAGATCAACGGGTAAGTGTCCCCGGGGCGAACACAATGTAAATGTTCAGTGTTCATCGTCAAAGCCGTATAAAGGAATCTCTATTTGCTCCAATGAATAAAGGGCCTTACTTTGGGACACATCGTCCCGACTTGATGATGAAAAAGGCAGTGTTATGTCATAATTTCTTTTCCGTGTTTTCCCCGAGGGCATGATATCGTAATTATTGTCATGAATACATGGACTGTGATGTTTACATTTATTCTCGTGTAATATATTGAAAGAGTATTAAAAATGAAAAGAAATAATATTTTCAAACACAAGAGTTGGAATGTCAACAGAACAGTGCTGCTGTAATTAAAATCTACTGAGATGATTCATGCTTACAAATAACAGAAATAACCAAACCTAGAACCGGTAACAATTATTTTTGATAATGTTTTACAAAAATTACGAATGGATTTCGTAATGGAGAAATAATGATAATCTGTTGATCCTGGAAGTGGAATAATCGAACCCCGAATTCTAGTGATTTCTCAGCCTTATATCGTGTTATGGTTGATATATCATTTTCCTATAAGTTTGCATAATGACCTCTAGTTGCGTCAGTGTTACTTGGTTAAATTTGGTTTAGAATGACCATTAAATACCTGGCTCAGAATCAGCTACAGCAAAAGGATCGTGACGTCATCATAATGGTTTAAATGCCAAATGATGGCACTTCCCCAAGCATTATAAGTGGTTTAAGGATTAAGTGGTGGTCAACAATTGATGCCAATAAAATGCACGTAATGGCTGACTTGACAGATTCATAGACTAAGACGATGAAGTGAGTATGTAGAACAGTTTATGACATACAGGATCCTTACTTAGGTAAACTACAAAGTGGTATAGACTGAGATGTTATTCTTGGTAAATGGCAGGAGTTCCTGTGGTGGACGTGTCCTCATTTGAAGGCCCTGAATCAGTTCAGTAAAATCTGCGATGGGGAGGAAGCCCTGTGACGTCAACACAGCGTCAATTAGACATCTATGAAAATATAAAGCCGGTCGTCTTCGTCCTTTGATCCATCAATAAGATTCAGCGTCAGATTATGTGGCTTGGGACGCAAAACGTATTACGGTAGCTCTGAGACAGGTCAATGAAGTCACAATTTGTTTTTCGTATCACTTGTAATCTTTAAAAGACGCTTTTTAAGGCTTTTAAAGGGACGATGCAACAAAGTCCAGCCTTTTTAATGTCAACAAATATTCGCGTCAGTTTGATCAGCATAGTGACACCACAATGTGACGCCTTCAAGATGACATTTAATAACTTCTATTGCAAACACCCACCAAAGGTGATATAACACGTATAAGGACGAGAGGAAATTTTTTCTTATCCTATAAATATCCAAAATAAATGCCCAAAAGTAACAGAAACTGGAAATGAAGTATTTTATTTTCATCTAATACTCGTAACCGGAGACCTGTGATATAACCCGAATTATTTTATGGTTATGCCGCTTTTAGCAATATTCCAGCAGTATCGCGGTGTGTTCCTATATGGGAAATCGAACCCACGACTTCGGCGTGACGGGCGAACGCTTCAACCTACACGTTACCGCACTGCCCAACAGGACAGAGTCAATGAAATCAAACAGTCCTCACCAGAAAAACACACTTGACTTAACTACGCACACTACAACACTAGAGAGTTCCATACACATTGAGATATTCATGTACATGTACAATGAAACACCGATATGTCTATCAAACGAATATCGAAATAAAAGAAGATGTTGCACTTACCAGGCTTATAATCTGGCTAAGCTGTAAACTGAAGTCTATATGGAGGGAATCGTTCACTTCTTTTACTGGTCTGATGAGAGGATTGTACCCGTTCTTCGTGAAGAGGTCGTACACCAAGCGGTCTTGGTTCGCCGCTGAAACAGTAAATTGGTAAGGAATTAATAACAGAGAAATAACCTACGTCACATGCAATATGCAACCATCATCATCATCATCATCGTCGTCGTCGTCGCCGCCGCCGTCGTCGTCATCATCATTATCATCGTCATCATCATCATCATGTGTATAGAATGGCAAGTAAATAAAGTTTGTTAAAAGGTTCAAATAATGGGGCAGAGACAGAGAATATAGCAGACGCCTCAGGATCTCATCATCTCATCATCTACATCATTACCTACATCATCGTCTACATCACCATCTACATCATCTGCATTACCATCTACATCTCGGCCTACATCATCATCAACATTACCATCTACATCAACAACTACAACATCTACATCACCATCTACATCAACATCTACGTCACAATCTAAATCACCATCTACATCATAACCTACATCACCACCTAAATCATCATCCACATCACCATCTACATCATCGTCTACATCACCATCTACATGATCGGCTACATCACCACCTACATTATCGTCCACATCACCGTCCACATCACCATCTACATCATCGTCTACATCACCATCTACATCATCGTCTACATCACCATCTGCATCATCGTCCACATCACCATCTACATCATCGTCTACATCACCACCTACATCATCGTCCACATCACCATCTGCATCATCGTCCACATCACCATCTACATCATCGTCTACATCACCACCTACATCATCGTCCACATCACCATCTACATCATCGTCTACATCACCACCTACATCATCGTCCACATCACCGTCCACATCACCATCTACATCATCGTCTACATCACCATCTACATCATCGTCTACATCACCACCTACATTATCGTTTACATCACCATCTGCATCAACATCTACGTCACAATCTAAATCACCATCTACATAACCTCCTACATCATCATCAACATTACAATCTACATCACAACCTACAACATCATCTACACCATCATCTACATCATCACCTACATCACCACCTACATTATCATCTACATGTATGTCAATGGAAAATATCCACAAAGCGTGAATTAGTTTGATTTAACGCAGGATTGCCTGGACCCATTGGTCGTGGGCTCAACTCCCAGATTCGACGTCATCCTGATGTTTTGTCTGTCAATACCTGTGGTCACACCGTACGGATTCCGGTTTAGAATTGGTCCCTAGCCACATATTGCTGTCGTAAGAAGCGACCATATGGATTCGGTAGTCAGATTCGGTGACTTGGCATGTCATCGAACCCTGATGGCGTGGATCGGTGTTCACAATACCTCTCATTGTCTGGTCCAGATTAAATTATTTACAGACTGCCGTCATAGAGCTGGAATATTGCTGAGTGCGGCATTAAACAACAAACTAACAGACACACCGGAATTGATCTTAGAAGTAAATAAATAACTGACGTACTTTTCAAAACTTAGTCACACAAGAACACGTTGTAAATATATAAGCTTCACCAATACACATATATCATGTCTAATCTCCTGATAAATGATAAAGCTTGTACTGCAAGCGATGCCGACATACCAACCTAGACAGGAATGTGATATGCAAAACCAAACGCGTACTAGATCGAAAGTTGGACTGTAATCCTCGTGGATCGTGAAGATCCAATAAAATACTGCCACTCACTGTAAAATGAAAGGAATATTCCTAATTTCATTTCGCACATGATCCCCTGGACCCGTCCCTAACAAAACATGGCGTGAAACACTGTGATCGCCCAAGTGTAAATGTAGTTCGGTCCACGGCCCACGCGGAGTTAACTATCCGATAGTGGCACGGTGCTATCAACTCCCACGATGCCTATTTTACACGCTGGCACATTTGTTCAAGTCCGCATCGCTACTCGCACATACAGTCACAGTTACCATACAGGTAATAGTTGCATTACCCAAATAATATTGTTCTTGCAGTGGATTCTAATCAGATGGGAGAATCACTTCAGTATTGATTAAGATGCAGAGCACATGTGTTGTTTTTCTTTTGCTGTTTCGGTCTGTTACAGCAGCTTCATGCAGAGAGGATGAGAGGAAAGATGACCCAAAAGCCTATTTACATAATACTCCGATACCTATTCTCCTATCGCAGTGTATATTCGCTGATTTGAAAACTTATATAATAGTCTAAAGAATATTTGCATAATTTACAAATTTGATGGAATCTCACTCCAAAAAGATATCTACACTTACATGTTATATCATTTACTGAATATGAACAAAGAGTTAAACATTATATACAAACATACTTCCACCGCTCTCAAATGAAGCATGTTACGTGTATTCAGTCATCGACATATATTCTATGCCCTGTTCCATTAGGTTCAACATGCATATATGAGACCTGTGGTGAAACAAGAATGAATAGCGTCTACGTTTACTGAGTCAGTGTGGAATGGCATATGTGGATCGTGGAGACACGTGTTATGTTTTCCGTGTTGGCTGGTAAACTATGCTTATACGAATAGGGTTTGCAGTCATCTCCTGACAGGCTTCCCCCAGGCGCTATAGTTAATGAGTCTTTTGTTCTTTTTCTCAGATGAGCATGGAACTCTGCCAGGTGGAAGCTTTGGCACACATTTATTGTCCTAATTTTGGACGGGCTATGACACACACGGCAGAGTACACCCTCTTTAATTGGAATAATATTCTCTTTACAGATACTCCCATCAGAAGGTTGTCTGCAGTTGTGGAGCAATGTTTGAGGAAATCGAGGATAACGCAGCGGATATCATCCTCCAGAGGATGAAATTCTCATAGGTGGTTCAAAGAGTAAAACGACGATGTGCCCTCGCGCCTTTAGCACGCGCGGTTGCCTAGAAACGGAATTCTGATCGCTCCTGCCGGGTGCTAGATAATGAAATCCCGTAGCATTCAAAAGCTAAACATGCTCAATATTGACAAAATCTTTAATTAACTGTATTGATATTTCTTCAAAAGGGATAACAAAAAGATATCTGTGTCAAAAAGGAATATTCGACCGGAATATTTTGAATCATTGCCCATTTTTTTAATCTGTGTAATGTTAGGATAAAATCTTGTAGGAGGTCAGTACGAGTTCAAACCGAATACGAAAATAGCTGTAATATTGTTGAAATGAAATATGACGATATGCATCAGGCTGTTGCGTTATGTGTGTATTACATTTATAACAGTGATAATCAACATCGGTGAAAAGGTGCTTTAATTGTCAAAGCCAGTCAGCTTAATACCAGGAAATTACCCATTTTTGTCACGTAACATAATTCCCTCAGTTTCTCAATTTAGGATTGGCCGTTTAAAACGTCTTTCTAGATGACATTAATTTAATCTATCAAATATAAACAACCATCCTGTGTAAATATGGTATCAAGTTAGAGAAACAGCTGTGTGAAGTATGATTTTCACTTCAGCGATACAATACCATAAGACTTTGCAACGGATATCATTTTTCGATTTTAGTAGGCTTTATCATACTTTAACCACACGTGACGTAAACTAGCAAATCACTTGTCCATACTTTTCTTTTGATCTTTACTAAATTCCAAGCGCAAAACTACTTTTGAAAACTCCACTTGGGAACTGTATCATACAAAATCGTGGTGCTCATCTGAATCCCTTCGGGTGAGGAAATATTATTGCTAGTTAGCAAAGTACTTTGAGCCTCGTCGTTGCTCTAGGGACAATATTGAAACTCTGAATCGGCCATTATGCTCACCACCTGTTGAATCAACCCACATCAGCTCTTAAACTAGGGCAGGATTACGATCAATAGCTTCATGGGCAAGCCATAAGCACGGGGCCAGCAGTGTGTTTTAGTTATCTTGTAGGATATGACTGAACACCCAGCATACACTATCACTACGGGGTATATGTGATATCAGAACATGATTAAATTTATCGCATACAAGATCATATCACAAGGGGTTTAGTTGTTATGAAGGATATGGCTTAATCACCCGCCAATCAGATTCACTACGGGGTATATTTGTTACGTAGATTATGACTAAATTTATCGCATACTAGATCCTATCACAGGGGGCTCTAGTTGTCATGTAGGATATGACTTGATCACCACCAAAACAAAAATACTGGGGGATCTACTTGCCAAGTACAATAAGAGTGAGTCTCCTCATATAACAGATAACCGGGTCTACTTGTCATGCAGAATATGAGTGGATCTCCTCACATTCAACATCACTTAAGGGTCTAGTGGCCATGTAGAATATGTGTGGATCTCCTTGTATTCAACATCACTAGGGGGTCTAGTTGTCATGTAACATATGTGTGGATCTCCTCACATTCAACATCACTTGGGTGTATAGTTGCCATATAGAACATGTGTGGATCTCCTCACATTCAACATCACTAGGGGGTCTAGTTGTCATGCAGCATATGTGTGGATCTCCTTACATTCAACATCACTTGGGGGCCCACTTGTCATGCAGAATATGTGTGGATCTCCTCACATTCAACATCACTTGGGGGTCTAGTTGTCATGTAGAACACGTGTTGATCTCCTCACATTCAACATCACTAGGGGGTCTAGTTGTCATGTAGAATATGTGTGGATCTCCTCACATTCAACATCACTTGGGGGTCTAGTTGTCATGTAGAACACGTGTTTATCTCCTCACATTCAACATTACTAGGGGGTGTAGTTGTCATGTAGAATATTTGAGGATCTCCTCACATTCAACATCACTTGGGGGTCTGGTTGTCATGTAGAATATGTATGGATCCCTTCACATACACGATCACGTGGGGGCCCACTTGTCATGCAGAATATGTGTGGACCTCCTCACTTACAATATCACTTTGGGGTTTAATTGTCATGTAGAATATTAGTAGATATCCCCACATACAATATCACTTTGGGGTCTACTTGTCATTTAGAATATAAATGGACCTTCTCAATGCAAGATCAAGGTCTAGGTTTTGTAATGTTGGATATGAGTGACTCTCTTGACATACACTATTACAAGATGGCTTACTTGTAATGCA